AGGGAAAGAAGAGTTTTGCTTTAAAAAAGTAATGGCTCCATAAGAGAACTTCATCCACAGAATGGAAAGTGTACCACAAGTCATGTAAATCAGAGCCTTGGTAGCAGTTTTGCAATTTTCTGACTCCAGCACCCCAAAAGATTCCCCCCTTAAGTAAAGTAGGATGACAGATCCAGTGCCAGAATTAGGCTTTCACTGCACTGCTAGTGAACTCAGATGAAAGGCTTTTGCACAGACAAGAGTCTCTTTTCACAGGATGGGTAAGGTAAATTCTAAGTCTACTAAAAGCTGACAGGTTTCATAGACTGCAAACATGGTGCTATTCCTACTACCCGGGCAAAATAAAACTATTAAATCCAGTACAGCCCTGCCCATTATCTTTCAAGTTATAATCTGAAATGTAGTTTAAATCTTTTATTATGGGAACTTTTGCAAAGTACTTGCTTGCAAGTTGGTTTTTTTTCTTGCAGTGACTAAAAGTGAAGAAGTAGAAATATGTATGGTTAAACACTTGCAAGCGGATCGAGAGGAGAAATATGAAGTAGTTGAAAAGTGGTTTTTGAAAGATCTGGAGATGATTGATGGAAAAGAAGCAGATACTGTAAGTGTTATGTATTATTAAATACATATATTAGAGTATACTTTTCTTGTGTTGCAATTTGGGAAACAAGTATTAAAATGCAATTACAATGCATTATCTGGAAAAGAAAGTTATGTAAAAAACAAAATAAATGAAACCTCCAAGGTATTTTGGTTTTATCACATGTGAGAGGCTCCATATCTCATTCGCCCTGTTGAGGGGGGAGCAGGAAGGAGAGATTTTCTTGTTTGTTGTAATCTTCCTCTCTCCAGCTGAGATCTGAGGGACAAGCTGGATGTCTTCCAATTTTTCATCATAACTGGGAATAAAAGTTCTCCACCTGCAGCTCCCAGCGTAAACTGGGATTAATCCATAGATTTTAATGTGCATTTGAAAACAAAATTTCATTGATACTTTTATGGAGAATGTGACCTTGTCATTTGAATGTATGAACCTGTTCTCTGTATGACAAAGTCAATGTGTAAAATATCATGCAAGTTTGGTGTACCAGCTCATGAAATTATCCCTCTTTCACATAGCTTAATCTCTCATCACTTGGATCAATTAAATATTGGTGTATTTGTGTGTGTAAATTTGAAACAGCTTTGGCTACATCTGGCTGACTTCTAAAAAAGTCCTGTTCTCTCAGATACAACATCAGAAGGGTAAAATGAAAAAAATAAAAAATAAAAAAAGAAATTTAAAAAAAAAAAAAAAAGCCAAAACTTTACGTCCCCTCTCCAAGTTACCTTGCTTCTGGAGATGTTCCTGTCCCTTTCCCAGCCAAGGAAGCCAGAGGATTTCCCTGCATGATTTTCCTTTAGCTTTTTTCTGAAATGTTGTGCTAAACTATTTTTCAGAGATGATTCAGCCTTCCACAACTGGGACGGTCAAAATCTGTCTCATTTTTGGTTAAAGAAAAGCCTAAATGAACCTCAAACTCATGATTACAGGGTGATTAACACTGCTGCAAATATTCCTAATAGTTATTCATATCCATAGAATTTAACAGAACTTAGCTGCTGCTAGGATTAATTGTGCCAAAGATCCAGAAAGCACAGGAAGGGCAATCAATATTCTTCTACTGACAGGCATATATAGTTATAGTCCAAGGCAAGTGCTTCTCATATAGCATGTTTTAGGCAACATGACAAAATGGTTCATTTCAAAACCAAGATTGTATAACCCCAATAAAGTGCAGTTTATCGCTTGGGCAAACTCTGAAAGTTTTACTCGGGCAAAATGCCTAATGGCAAAAAATAGCAGCTAATTATAAACCACTACTTTGTGAAGTTTAAAAGACCCTTTAGTATGAACAGCAGAAATAACGCAAAATCTTTTAGAGTCCATCAAACTGAGAAAAAGCCCGGAGGGTAGCTGGGCAGAGAACAACAGATTGCCGTTCTAACATCTGTAATGTGTGTAATAATTTCATTCTCTGTTTTTTTTTTTTTTTAGGACAATCCATATTTTGATATGCACTTCCACAAAGTCTACAATCTGGAAGCATATAGTTGTGCATCTAAATATGCCTTTGCTCGAACGCTAACCAAACTGAATGAAATGTACCTTAAGAAGGACTTGAAGATTGTGAACTTTGATGACACCTACCTAAATGATGATTCAATCTGGTCATCCAACAATAGGGATTGTTTAGTACTTATGAGGATATGCTTCTATGCTTCCAACCTTTTATGTCTCTCCCTGTGTCCTCTGTCCTAAAGAGGCATTTTCTAACATTAAGGTGACTGGTTGACTTTCACTGACCAGCATTTCATAAATCATCTGATCAAAAAGATAGTATTTTACATATAAGCAAAAAATGGAACATACATTTTACATAAACATTGACCATTTGTTTATATATATTAGGAGGGCCTCACTCTGGCAAATACTTACAAATACATGAGACTTTCAACACAGGACCAGTAATTCTCATGGTCAATGGTGACTGGAAATATTTTTAAAGCATTAAGAGCATTAACAGTTAATTTTAATATCCTGGGAGTAGAAAAAAGAAAGCAGCCAAATGAGTTCTGTGTGAGAATGATGCCCATTTCCATTTTAATGCTGTTAAAGAGATCACACCTACATCAATACAAGAATCAAACCCTCATCCCAATGAATCGGTGTTTTGCATTCAGGTATCATGGGACCAACTTTTCACCTATGCAGTTATAATTATTTTTCCCTCTGAACGTCTAGTGCTCCCTTTGGCCTTTCTCTTATTTGTGGTACTGCCTTAGAAAATGAACGTTCTTAAGCAGAATTGCTTTATTTATCAGACCTTTCAGAACATTAACATCTTCTTTCTTGCACTTTATTGAACAGGCACAGTTAGGGAACAGAAATTGTTTGTTTATGTCTCATGTCTACCTCTGGACCAAGAGTTAACAATATACTATGTAAACAGCAGTTGTTGGCTACTACAATTACTTTGGGGGCAAGTGATAGACTTCTTGAAGTTCACAGAATTATGAGAATAATTTTGACCAGTTTCTAGCTATGTGTTAGTATATTCAGTGGACTCCTTAAATGTGTATTAGTACTTGCAGTTACTTTTAACATGGGGTGGAGTCTACGGAGTGATTTGGAAGATCTTGCCTATAACAAAAAATAGCGGCTGGACTTGTGACAGCATTATATTACAGTAGAAACAGAGGATGGATTAAAGCTGTATTGAGCAAGAGCTGAAGAGGAACAATGTTGACAATAAGAAGCACAGCAATGTTGCCCAGTGTCAGCCAGTGAAGGTAGTTGGCTGCTCTTCCCACAGTCAATAAAGAAATGCCAACCCCAAAGGTCATTCAGCGAAGCTTCTGGTCAGAGTGTCCTGCAGGAGAAAAATTTGCTTTCTCTTTTGGCAGCCAGGAGTGGACAGGGAGACCAGCTGTGGACAAAACCAGCTATGTGCCTAAAGCTGACTGATGTAAATAGCTGCTAGGAAATCGGGAGCAGGTGACTGTCCTCTCTTGGTACCTGCCCAAAGTACATTTACACAAATGTTTTCAAAAGGTGGGAGTTCACGTGAAAGACAACAGTGAAGTAGGAGTCACAGTACCCTTGCGCGACTATCCCACATCAAATAAGTGAGAATATTTGAAAAATTGTATAAAATATACAGCTTTCTACTTTACTTTTTACATGCTACCCTATTGCTTGTGTATAGGAAAGGCCATACCTTTGATTAGCTAGTCTTCAGAAGCTATACATTTATTCTAGGCATATGTGGTAACTTACATTCATTCTAACCCAAATCTTAGTAATGGTGTGTATCTTGACAGTTGTGAAGGCAGTTTATGTGGGTAAGGAATTTGTAAGGGACTAAAGTCTTTTCTACATTTGCCACCTAATTCTAATTCTAAAGGACTGTATTTATAGTAATTGTTTGTGAAACGCAGTTGTTCCTTTCTGAATGTCTTTGGAATAATGAACTGCAAGGATGCGTGTTGTAACATTTGATCCATAGCTACAAGAAGTATTTGCCCAACACTCAGGTTCCACAAGGACCATCTTCAATAGCAAGTAGAATTCAGCCTACCATTACCTAGGATACATGGTCTTGTTTGGACTGTGTGTTAATAGTAGAGGTCACCATGTTTTCTGTAACACAAATTCTTTGCTTAATAGCCACAGGGAAGTATTTTTTTTGGGTGGAAAAGCTCCCATTGTTCATCTTGTAATTGTAATAAAAACATAGAACCTCTACTAATAAGCACTTCAGAGCATTCTTTTGAAATAAAGTACAGGTGTAGTGAATTCCTCACCAATAATTGTCTCTATCGTGTTAGAAACTGATAAGCTCAAAATGACTGTAATGTTCAACCATATTTAATGGACTTGCATCAGTAGTTTGTACCTTTCTATTCTTGTACTGTATAAACATTAAACTGGCTATAGTAGAAGACAAATGAGCCTGCATTTTATGTGGAATAACGTGCAATTAAAATCTGTTTGGCATTTCTTCTGTCTGATAACAGAGCATTTCAGACATTCTTCACTTAAGTGATCAGACTCAACAAAGGGAAGGAAGAAAAAGGGACGTTATCCATGTGAATTATTCCAGTTCTTATCAAAAGGGAAAATACTTCAAAAGATCTTTGCAGACCTAATCTAGGGACTCTTTACCTCTACACGGTTAGGTTAACAGTTGGACTTGGTGATCTTAAAGGTCTTTTCCAACCGAAATGATTCTATGATTCTTTTTAAGGTGTCAAATACCGAGCCGCTGTGTATTTGCTAGACTGACCTGATCACACTGTGAAAAGTCTTTGTCCCGAGGTGCGTGAGACTGTCACTTTGTGGTTAGTGTAGCACAGCAGCACCGCAGGAGGGAGCGACTATGCTAAATTATAAATGGAAAAGACCTGACAGGCTAAATAGCCCATCTTTCAATTAATGCAGAATTGTTTCCAACATCACATTTCCTGACACTGGATATACAGAATGTAGTTTGAAATAATGCAGTATCTAGGCATTCATCTGTTTCTCCTGTAAGACTTCTCCAAGATTGACTAGGAAGGAACTTAGAGGAGTAAAGGATTATCACAAATGCATTTTGTAGCACCCTTACAAAAGGTTACAACTACATGATGGAGTGAATTAATACTTGAGACTGTGGATATAATGTAGATTTCCTTCAGAAGACAGCAATTGTTATCAGCCACATCTGTTCCAGAGAAAAGAAGAATGTGGCAGCCTGAAAATGAGGAAGAGTGATAGTGAGCAAACAGGAGTCCAGGCTCGCTTGTTTAAGAGGCAGAGAGAGAATAGAGGCTGTCATAAAAGACAGTGGATGTTTTTTTCCTTAGTGTATTTTTTAAAACTCTTTAAAACCAACATCAGAATTAAGAATACGGGGAAACCTATGAGAAAAGAATTTGAGAATATTTTGCATGTAGCATTTCTCAACACCGTATTTGTCTTGTTCTATACTTAAAAAAACACATCCGTTTCCTGCAGCTCCACACTATAAAAAGCATTTTACACCATCATTCAGATAAGATAGTTCCATATCGACAAAAAATACACTGGTGATGTTCTGAGTTCCTGGTTTTAAGATGATTTTCACCATCTAAGACCCATGACCTTACATGTGAAACAGGACTCCTGTCCTGTGTATTTATCTTTTCCTGCCTCTTAGATTAAGCAAATACAGATGAATGCAGAAGTTTTAAAATAATTTTGGGAGTGAAACAGAGCAGGGAGCCTGTTCTGGACTGTGCCTTCTGGGTTATTTCTTATTCTTCTTCTCCTTTGTATTTTGGAGTCGTACATACAGTAACCCACCTCTTCCCAACGAAAGCCTATACTGCTTTCCCTGTCACCTGCCTATGCCCCAATACTTTCCGTCACTTTCAGCATATCTATCTGCCTTCTTGCGTAGAACAGGGGCTTGTATTATGCAATTTGTAATACGTAATTTAAGACTAATTTGTTGTGAGTTAAGGTCAGTATTAGAAGACCAAAGGCCCTTTCTAAAGAGATCTGTGGAAAGCTGAAATAGGAGGGGAGAGAACAGCACTGTGCATCCTGGAAGATAACCTCATGTCAGTTTTAACGTGTATAACCCCCTTTTAACATTAACAAACTACGTTTTGGGGGGGGGGGGGGGTGTGACCTTTAGCAGAATCAACAGCCAAAGACAGGAAAGTAGCAGGGTTTTGACTGATAACAACAGCAGCTTTGTGAAACATTGTCCCATCTTTTATGGCTGCCTTGTCCCATCGTTATAGATTTAGCCAGAGACAGTTACATTTTGTGGCTGAATTGAGAAATTACCAAACCATAACTTCTCTTTTAACCTCGGCCCTCATGCATGATGCATTATAGAACTATACAGCACGTTGTTTTGTAAGTCAGAAAATGGAAGTACATTCAGCGAGACTTTATCGGTCAGTAACGTTTACTGCTTTCAGTCGAGCGGAAAAATGATACAGGAATGATGAAATCACAGTTTTACATGTTAGAAGCCTACATTTCGGCAATTTATAATCAACACTTGGAAAAGATGTTTTCTGTTGTTATTTATTGGTCATGGCCCAGCTAATACATTTTATCAGCCATACCCTAAAGGCATACTGGTGTATTAATGTGAATAAATCACACAGTTCAAGTAATCTGTAATGATTTCAGCCTTTCCTTAACTCTGCATGCAAGCGTTGAAGAAATACTGTATTAATTTACATTTATATCGCTAAAAATGAGTTAAGTGTATCGATCGTGTGGTGAACCTCCGTCACAGCGAAGTCGGAACTAGAAGGCAGTTCCAGTTTTCACTGGATTCAGCAGACACTACAAGTAACTACGGCCAGGTTTGGACATCGTTTCTCACGGTTAGATGCCAAATCCTACATTTCGTGATCACTAGTCACAGAGTAACTGTTCCCTCTGAATTACCACTGGCATCAAAGACTGTCGGTTACTAAGGGGGCGTCTGCTTAGGGGTAAAGCCAAAACGCTTTTCACTGAAGTTATATGAATCCTGATGCTGTGGCCAAACTGAATTACAGCAGGCGGTCAGAGATGGCCTTCTTTGTCATTTGAAATTCTGAGATACTGTCATATTGTAATGTATTGTGTGCATCTTTCAACCCCAGGTGTATCTGCGTTTCTTTTGTGAATACACTCGTCTCCTAGAAGACATAAAACTTCTCAGTAACTCTGCCAGGCCAGTTGAGAACACAGACATCAGACGCCAGTTGACCTGACACCAGTTTTGCATCTGGTGCAACCCATGTTATTTCTCCCACAGTGTTTTGCTGTTACAAACTCTTTGATGGCGAGCGTTCTCTCATCACACTGGCACGTAAAACACCTCTTGCAGGTCATAATACAGAAAAAACTTATTTACATAATTTTTCTTGCTGCTTTATGCCTTATAATTACACAGCAGGGTTTTACCTAACAGTTCACAGCTACTGGAGGGAGCTTCTTCCCTGCAGCTCTTTAGAGCTTGGTGAGGTTTTTCAGGCCCTTCTCTTTTTTCCTGTTTTTTTTGTTTTTTGTTTCCTGCCCCCGCCTGAATCAACCCACCCGAGTCAGGCAGGAGCCACCTCAGGAAGGTGCACCCAGACACGGTGGAAAGAAGCAGGGCCACTCTTTACCACAGCACCGCCAGACACCTCCGGGCTCCCTTTGCCACCTGAGAAGCTCCAGGGCCTCACAGGGCGCTACCAACCATGTCACTTACTGGCAAGGCCCAGCTCAAACCGGAGCGGGCCTGGCCATTTGTGAATGTGTGAAGACCACCACACAGTTACCGTTCCTGCCTAGCAACGCCCTCTACCTCGCCCTCTACCTCGCCCTCTACCTCGCCCTCTACCTCTACCTCTACCTCTACCTCTACCTCTACCTCTACCTCTACCTCTACTTCCCCC